GTCGCCGCTTCCTGCGCCTCCTCCCGCGTCAGCATTAGCCGAATGGCCGCCTCGCTGGGTCCTACCCACATTGAAGAAGTCAGTCAGTGCTACACTTCAGAACAATACATCAAATGTTACCGTCCGCGCCGTCAGCCAATGTGTACGGATTGGGCTTCGTACGATCCTCCAACCAGTCGTCCACCTGCTTCTGCCACGTTTTCCGAAGGTCTTTCTTCAGCATTGCGTCCACCTGGATAAACGCTGCGACCTGGCGATCACGCTCCTCGATGGCCAGAATCAGTTTGCGCGGCAGAGTTGTCCCTAATCGTTCAATCGTCAGTAACCACGATGGGCGTTCGTCAATTCTACACACCCTGATTAATGTTCTTCTTGAAGTTGTGGTGGTGGATTTAATCTTCAATTGCGTCGTGTCGCGCCCCGGCCCCCATCTCCTTCGTTGCCCACGCCAGCGGGTTGAAGTCTGCCCATGTCCGCTCGATACCCTCTCCATCTGTCCGCCCCACGCCCGGTACGTAGCTCAACGAGTTCTGGACCTGGCACGACCGCTCATGTGCCGCAGCATGCCAAACCGGCAAGCCGTACAACACGGTCGTCTGCTTCAGGTCCAGCTGCAGTTCCTCCGGCATTTTCCCCATCCGCTCCTCAAAATGGATACGCCACTGGCAGGCGATGTCGTACAATATCACTAGATACATCGCCATGATACCGAGTACTGCACAAAGTAGTATGTAGTCCATATTCGAATATCTGGCATTTGGTCAGCTTCTGTCGCCTTACTTCCTGTCTCGTATCCACGTACCTTTCTCCCTTCTGCAAATCCCCGACCCCCTGCGGACGAACCAGCTTGTGGCGTGCGCACACCACTCCCCCGACGCCTGAGCATCGCAGCCCCGTCGTCATCCGCGTGTCCTTCTGCATCAAGGCAGCGAACGCGATGCAGGTGCTAACCTAAATCGATCTTGTCAGCTTCTTGAGTTTTCTTTTGCAGTCGATATAACAGCTCACATCTTTCTCCGCCACGTACCCTCTCAGGTGCTTTTTGTATGGCCCCTCCTCTACCAGGTGTCCCCACCCATCGCCCAGAGGAGGGTCGTCTCGTGCGTTGCTGCGCAGTCGACTCTTCAGCCTGAAGTTGGCGTCCATGGCGAGCAGCAACATGTAGAGGAATTTAGGCGATGGGCTTCAGTTTCAGCCCGCCGAGTCGCATGCGTGCCCAACACGACTTACCGAAACTCCGGCGATACATCTTGCCAGCCCTCCGGGATGTTGATCTTGTCGTGGGGGCATGTCCAGCACAGGGCTCCGCACTCCCCGTTCTTCGTGTTCGCCACGCCAGCAGGGTCGTGGCCGCGCCCAGCGCGCAACAGGCGCATCAGAAATGCCCATTGCCGCGACATCAATCCGAACGCCTTATACCGATCCTTCAAACACGCGTTCAGTTAAATCGCTCTCGTCTCTTCATATAAAAATACACTAACTGGTACCTTGTTCACCTGCGCGGGGTCCGTAAGCCGCTCCACGGTCCCGATAAAATCGTGGACGTTTATGTTGCCCACAACGTTGAACAGTCGGTATAGCTCGAGCGCGCTGAACGTAGCGCACGTCGCCGGGTCGGTGATCGTCGCCGGGTACCAGCTGTTCGCCAGCAACTGGTCCAAGTCTTGCGCGCGGTCGGCCTGGTCGCACCCGCAATAACGGACCTTGACGGAGTGGATATACTGGCAGTCGACGACAACCATCGTGCACGCCACGGGCGCAGGGCGAGGACAGGCGTGTCCTCCGTGTCCCAGTTGATAAATGCCGCCCAACACGTTGATCGACGAGGGAACCCAAAACGTTCCCCTCCATTCCTGAAACCCTGAAGTAAGTACCTGTCGTGGCTATCCCCCACGCGCCACGCACCTTTATCCGATGTAACGGCGTCAGTGTATGTCTCGACAGTGTACACTTGAGGCACTGGACAAACTCGCCGCAATCCGTGCAACGGAATCGCCGCGCGTTCACCGCCCACACATCACCGCAACAAGGACACTTGTCGTCGGCGCACTGCGCCTGCCGCTTGATGAGGCCATCCAAGAACCGTTGGACGTATGGACGCCATGCACCCATCGTTGCCTGAAGGAGTAAAAATAGTCAGCCAACAACTGTAATTCCTGACAGAAAAGAAAAAAGGACAAAACGAAAGGCAAGTACTAACTGAGGTGTCGTAGCGCTTCCTCTTATCCCCGCTCTCAGCGTCCCCCTCGTCAACTCCCTCAGGCTCCTCTTGTGTGTCGTCTTCCCGGAGAGTACTGAAATAATCCTCCAGATCGGTCGGTCGGATTTTCCTCCGTTTCTCGGCCACATTGATGGCCTTTCGGGCTCCGCGGCGACCATCCTGCGAAACGAAGAAGGTGGTGTCTTGGGTGGTGTCGCTAGGTCGTGTTTCGTACTCGATTAACAAATCTGGCTGCTGCGAACGGTTGGGTGCCCGGTAAGACATGGAAGGCACGGACAGACCAGCAAAAAGACCAAAGGGGCATTGTTGTCTTGTCGCCAAACAACGCGGCCATGCGCTCGCCGGGGTGTGCGCCCATATACGGAAGGCAAGGGACTCAGGGAGACGGTTTGTTTGTTGACGTCACGCTCATTCGTGTCAATTCGGCCGAGGTTGCCGCATCGGCCGAAATGTTTTCAGAAAAAAAACGGACACAACAAAGTATGCTAGTAATTCAGCGGGAGGAGGAGCGTCTTCGACTTCTTCACGACCAGATGCCATCTGCGTTGATGTACCCAAAAGACCAGCGCCGCTCATACGCGGAATGCTTCCCGTCGATACAGTTGCATTTGACGTCGCGAACTGAATTGAGTCCCACTATCTGTAAAAAAGCACTTGTCAGTCTATACCCGCCCTCAATAAATTTTATTTACCTGTAGATCGTGAATGGGACCCTCCTCCGCCAAATGCCGAAGACCTGCGCCCATGGGGCGGGGCAAGACCGGGCTGCAGATAAATTATCATTTGTTTCCACTTCGCAGACACAAAGAAAGCATACCCCGCAGCGGCCCATGCGCTTTCCACTGCCTCGCCGTCGGTCTGGTAGCGGTGCCCGCTTTCGATTTGGGGTGCGTCGTTCAACAGAACGGCGGCCGACACGGGCGCGGGGACAGGCATGTCCTTAGTTTGACCGGCCGGCGAGTCCCGAGTATCCGATTCTTCGTCCGACGGACTGACAGGCATGAGAGGTGGTTCTTCGTCGTCCGCGCTGAAGAGGCTGTCGTCGTCGCCTCGCTCCTGCCAAAGTAAAGTCAGTTAACCCGACTGCTGATGTGGAGACCATCAGATTGCACTTACGAATGCACGACCCCGCCTCGCTCGCTCCCTCCTCCTCTCGTCCTCTGGTCCCACTGACACACGACATCGTATGTCCGAGTCCATACCATGCAGCGCTGTTCAGCCGCCGGGGTGTGGAAGTCTGTCCGCAACGTGGCTAGGACCACATGCTGGTCGACTCTAAATTGCAAACCAGTCTCAGCGGTGGACGAACGAAAGCAGCAGAAAAATATCTCACGGTGAAAGGCCGTATATCACTTTCGTCGTCGCTACGTCGTATTCGCGTGCGCGCATTCGCACAGCTGAGGTTCGGTTCCGTGCGTCAGTCAGGATATACGACCTCAACATGTAAAACTCACGGGCATCGACGTTATCTCCCTCAGAAGTCATTCTGGACGCAATCGTGGTAGAAAAGTCAACCTGCGAGGCGGTGGTAGGTCAGCCTTGTCGGTTTTTATCCGGTCCTATTTTTTGGGGATACTTCGTCGTCAAGTCAAGCCGCTAAAAGTGTGTAAGTTTTCCAATCAATTTCCCAATCAATCACAAAGTGGTGTTTTGTAGCCACGCGATGGCTTTAACCGACCAGGTTTTTGGGGGTCAGGTACCGCCGTTGTTCCATCTTCTTGGTCTTTCCTCATCATCCACCTCCCCTGCCAGAACCCAGCCCCTCCCCCCCGCTCCGCCTTTACCATGCGCCGTCAACTGGGTATCCCTTTCCCCCTCATGCCCCCCATCCTGCCCCCCCGCATTCCCCCTGGCTCCGTCCCGCCCTACTTGGTCCCCGCCTTGGACAGTCCGTTGGAGCCGCACATTGAATTCGACTTTTTCGCGCGTTTCCGTGAGGAGACGACTCTCCGTGACCCCGAACAGCCATTCCCGGAGGACCCCTTGCCCGGCGAGCCCGGCTTCAAGGATGAGGAGGGTCCGCCGGTCGCGCGCGGCGCGTGTCGAGGATTGAGAAAATATTTGGAGTCTTAACTTCTGTTCTTCACTCAGCAATAAATATTATTATGCCTAAACCCTTTCAACCTCGTTGAGCTCTAACGAGTTCCGAGTGAGAATGTGGAAGATTATGGTACACACCCCTTATTATGTACCCTTGACCGGGCTACTGGGGTTGACCATCGCGCTTCAGCTTTAATCTCCGACCCTTGACCGGGCATCTAAAGCTGCTGCACATTAAATCTTCTTCGTTGAGGCGTGTAATCTTATTCCACCTACTTCGTAAAAACATCATGCATGCGCTGGGCTTGCGGGGTGTAGATTTTGGTGGTGAGCTGAGACGGCTTGGAGGAGGCGTCGAATCCCAAAAGATTCCGCGGATCCCAATCCGGCCTGTTTGTTTGTTTGGCAAACGCCTCCGCTGATAATTAAGGGATCAGACGCCACCTGATGAGTCTTCACAGACGAAACGTTGACCTTTAACGTCGTGGTTATCCCAACTCTCTGCCCCCCAGCACTCATCTTCAGCTCGTCCGAAGACCTCGTCCAGTCGGCGAACAAACAACTCGAGGTTGTGCAGCCGCGCAAAGTCCTTGCCCGCGATTCAAAAGGCATGAAGATGGACAAAGCGCGCCACGCTGCGAAGCTCGCGGTGTGAGCTATCACTTTGTGATATGCTCCCTCCGTGGCTGAAAAAGGCAAACACGCACTACGGAGCACGCACAGAAAAAGGTTGCAAAAACGACCTGACCCCGATTCGAACGAGGGACTCGCAATTATGCAATATTGCGAGGAGACCGACAATGTGCGTGTTACCATTACGCCACCAGGTCTACGCTACAGGACGTCAAAGAAAAGGTGTCGACCCACGGTTGAGTGGGAAAAAAGGGAAGCAAAAACGACCCGACCCCGAATCGAACGAGGGACTCGCAATTATGCAATATTGTGAAGAGAACTACAATTGCGCGCGTTACCAGTTACGCCACCAGGTCTACACTACAAGACGTCAAAGAAAAGGTGTCGACCCACGGTTGATTCTCTCCTGTGGGAAAAAGTGTACATGGCCTGACCTCGAATTGAACGAGGGTCTCGCAACTGTCATATTGCGTAGAAGTGGAACTACAAGTGCGCGCGTTACCAGTTACGCCACCAGGCCTACCACCACATAAATCCCCAAATCGCCACGGACCTCACGAAAATTAACAAATCGACATGATGCATACGCAGAGCACGGAAAGGTAAACATCGCCAACGCGGGGTACTACACGGAGTACGGAAAGTGTCGCCACGCGGTACATATCAAAGCTACGGAAGGAGGTGCGAGCTACGGAGTACGGAAATTGGGCGCACGGGCAGCAACGTTACAGTCCGAGGGTTAGGTATCTCCTTCAAGCGCACGGGAAAGCATGGAGATCCCCGCCGCGAGGCAAGGAGGGCAGTGTTGAAAGGGGTCCGTGGACGAATGAGGAACAAGGTCGCGCGCGGCGGTCGGAAAGAAATTAGTATAAAAGCAGGGACGTCCGTAGAAGAATGCATCTTATTACCTCCCACTGCTCATACCTAAGCTACTCCCCCTCGATCATACGGGGTGAGAATCTAGTCAAAATACATCCTCGCTCAGGTTGCGCCGCCCTCCGTGGGATCAACCAAGGTCAAATTGGGCCAAAGCTTCAATCAAGGAGGCTTGTCCGTAGTACTTCCGGCTCAATAGAACGAGCCAGAAGGAATTATAGAAAACATTGGCGTTGATAGCTCGCGTGGTTGTAGTACGCGCGGCGAAACTTCCAAACGGCCAGCACCGTGTAACCGTTGGCTTGGGCCTCGAACGCAGATCCGTGCGCGGAGTACCACCCCCATTGTCGCGGAAGGCTTATCCAATTCGATTATAACCACTTCACGATTCATTCTCACCACTTCGCCACACACACGCCCACGGAATTGACACTCCTTGGCCGTACCACCACAGCGTAGAGAAAAAGTCGGGTTACGAAGGACTACGCTATAACCCGTACGCGTTGTGTTCAACAGTTCTGAAGATACTGCTTGCCCAACCTATACGAGGCAAGGGGATAAGAAAAGGAACCATATAGCCCAGGCATCTCGACACGGAACAGTGTTCATCTTGCGGAGCGTTGCCCCTTCGCGCAAGTGTAGAAAACCCTCCGATCGAAGCTTTCCTGGAAGGCTAGCCCCCCAACGAGGAAATAAATCCTCGAGGAACCTAGCGAGACTGTTCATTCCGTACGGAAGGAACTGTACCACCACCACCACATTTTAAAAATACATAACATTGCGTGTACTACAGTAGCAGACGAATCTCCGCGACAGAGAAATTTCCCTCTAGAGGACGAACTAATTTCGTGCTTTTGCCTGACTATACCACACCCGGTCAGACAACTCACGGAACCGCAGTCCGTATCACAGCGGCCAATCGCGAAGAGCGGTACCAGCGTATTCAGCAGAGCTTCCACCATGCTCGCGTAGTCGCCGCGGTAGGCGTCCCACGGGACCCCATCGTCGTGGCTCAGGGCGGCGCAATCAACCCCAGCATGATTGAGGACCGCGATTACGACCTTGGTGAGGTTTGTGGTCCAGACTCGCGCTTCAGATTGTGCCTGATCCCTTGGGGCGGAGCGTAAGTAATGTCCCAGTGTCCAGTAGAGGTCTAGCAGCTGATATATCGCCAGGTGGCCACGCGCAGTTGTTACCAAGGACAAAAGTGTGGTGTTAATCCTCGGTGGTTGTTCCCGCGGTGGATACTGGAAACGCGACGTGATTAACCCAGCAAACGAGGCTTGTGAGCAAGTCCTAGCCAGTGTGCGCCAGTCGGCAGAAGAGATAGCAGCCAAGGCGCCTGTGGTGCTCACTGCCGGCGTTGGTGAACACTTCAATCAAGAACGCGTAGGTGGTCTTGTCCTTTCGACGTGACAGTTGTTGATGAATGTCCCATTAGCCTGCACGCCCTGCCTACGGGGCACTGCTCAACACATTGGTCTTCATGCAGTTCTTCGCGGTTTATGGAGTCCGTCGGTTGATCGGCTATGGAAATCGTGAGTAACAATAAAATAACAATTACTTTGTTGTTCTGTGTTGATTGATGCTTGTGACGCCAGGTCTTCTTGAGCTCTACTGCTATGCCGCCTTTGTTGGTCTCGAGACGCAGAAGGAACAATTCCTCGAACTTCAGCCCGACGTGCTCTACCCATGCCCCTCTAGTGTATTCTCCGCCGCGACTCTCGAACTCGGCGGCCCTCATTTGCGCGCGACGAACAGTGGACACGAGCCCACCACCTGGAGTATTCTGGTCGCGCTGGGGAACTTTGTCCCACGACTCGGCGGCCATATCATCCTATGGGACCTCGGATTCGTCGTATCGTTTCCCCCTGGGTCGTGTATTCTGCTGCCGACTGGCCTCATCCGATATTCATTCGTCAAAGTCCGTGAGGGCAAGACGCGCTACTCTGTCGTGCAGTTCGCCGGGTCCGGTGTTACCCGCTGGCTCCAGAATGGTCGGCGCACCGATATCGACTTTTCCGCCAACGCCTCCCGCGAGCAGCACCAAGCGCACGAGGCGCGCCGCGAACTCGCCCAGGACGCGCTTCTCAACGCCTTCCCACTCAGCAGCGAGTTGCCGGAGGACTTTGTCCGTGTCCCTTTCTACGGACCGCCTCCGCAGTTCGACGAGTAGTCTAGCCTAAACAACATTGCGCGCAAAGCCGTGTCACCTTCGTGTTCCGTCTCCCCTCCCCTCTCACCACAAAATACCTCAAAATAAAATAAAAATGGACTATTTATTCTTCTGCGGGGAATAGCGTGTGTGCGTCTGGACTTTTACTTCCTAGTTAAGTACTGTACTGTACTCCGCACCCACAATAATATCGATTTTCCTTCTATTCCGCCGCGCTCACCGCAACGTACCAGTTTAATACCAATACCTTACGCCCCGCCTAACAACGAGTTGCTGGCCGTGCTGCAGGATATATCCTGGCTCGGCCGTGGCGCGCACGGCAGTGCTGCTGAACAGAGGGCGCCGGTCTTCTTCGTCCACCTCGTAGCCGCTTTCGTCGTCTGTGGGGTCATCCAACGACGATTCGTCCGCAGCGATGGCCGTGAGGGATTTGGGCGAAGGTGATCCACGTGCGCGAGGGCGAGGCATCTTGGGTGGGTAATGGTGCGCCGGTTGCGCTGTGCTGCTTGTCGCGGCCGTGCAACTCGCGCTGGTGTGTTTTGGGCCAGCCGGGGCAGGTGCCAGCTTGGTCTTGGGGCTAAGTGGCTTCATTGTCGGGCTAGGTGGCTTCGTTGTCGGGCTAGGTGGCTTCCTTTTGGGACTGGCCGTCTTGGCTTTCGTGGTCTTGACGATTTTCTTGCAGCGCCTGGACACAAAAAATTAGAATGAATGCAATTTACATGACTTATTCTCACTCCTTGTAATTGCGTCGATACTGCGCCGAGCGCACCTTTGCCTCGAGCTGAACGTCGCTGGGAGCTGTCTTGAGCATCTCGCGTTGCCTGTATTTTGTGGGTAAGAGGCGGGGCGAAGTGACTGTGAGGGCGCGCTTGACCTTTGCATGTGCAGCTTCGCTTTCTCGTTGATTGCGGCTTTGTGTCTGCGAAACATTGAATGAGGACGACGGAGGGAATTCGGGCAGGGGCGCACCATTGTCTGTATTCCCAAGCCGCCTGGGCACGGCGCTCCCGTATTTCCTCTTCCGTGGCTTTGGATTTGGGCCGCGCCATAGTCGGTATCGAACAAGGGAGAAGAGAGAGCCCCGATGGAGTTCGTCACCAAAGGAGTTCGTCATGAAGGGAGTTCGTCATCTAGATCGAACACAATTTGCGAATGCAGGCCGTCGGTGCTCAGGTTGTAAAGGTCTGACTCGAGAGAAAGGAACTTGGTAGTATTCGGACCTGGAAATTAATATTTACTAGCGGAAAGATGGCACCGATGTGGCTCAAAATTGAGAGATTGGTTGCGCTGCATACTTTAATTCGCTTTTGAATACCCAATCTTGCTTGGATTCTGGAGTTCGTCATCGGAAACCCAGTGGGCTCTGTACGGCAACAGAGGGTGAGTATTTTATTCACGTAGGGGTAGCTACTGGCTTAAGAAGGCCCCACAAACACTTAGTTACCTGCCAAAGGATGCAGAACGTGCTGGACGTGGGTTGAAGACGTTGTGTGACACATGTGACGGACCGACATTGAAATGACGAACACCCCGCTTTGGATAGAAAAATGGCTCAACCTCAACGCAACGCACAAAAAGGACCAAGGAGAGAGGGCAACATAATAGAATTCATGACATCAAAGATATTGCAAATCTACGAAGGATGTACGCTAAACTAGACGCGACAAATAGTACGAAGGAAAACCGCAGTGAAAGCTGCTTTGAACGCGTCCTCAGCCTCGGTGCGCGTGGCGAAAGAGGCACAAAGATTCCCCTTGACGCCGGTAGCATTGAGGCTGCACTCCAACCAGGACCGGTAAACCCCAGGCACAACCCCGCAACAAACAACATACCAAATGTCGCTGGTGGACCCCGAGTTGAGGGGATTATCGTCGTACGAGGAGGGGAGGGGGAGAGGAGAGGGCAAGGGGACAGATAGGTCCGACGGCGAATCAGCGGTCCACCCCTTGGAACGCGCGTACTCGATGGCTCGTTCGGCGGCAGCAAGGCTGGGGAAACCGGCGTGAATTGCGATACCGTGGCCAGAAATGCTGCGCTGCACACTGCCCCAGTTGTCGAACGCACCGACCTCGCCCCCGTAAAAGACAGTGTACGCCTTGGAGCGAGGTTTGCGAGAGCGTTGGGAAGGTCCAGTAGGTCCAGTACGGTGCACAGAGGTGCTGGGGATCGTGCGGCTGAGGGAGGCGGCTTCAAACCAGGAAAAAACTCGGGATGTCTTTGTCGGGGAGTCAACAATATAACCAGGGGTCCCAGTGCGTCGAGACGTCTGGGGAGTCGAGGGCGAAGAACGGGCAGTCTGCGCGGTCGCGGGGGTCACGGGGGTAGCCGCCGAAGAACGGGCTCCCTGCGCTCTCGTGGGGGTAGCAGGAGGCGGGGGCGACGACGGAGGCGACGACGGAGAAGTGGTCAGTTCATCGTCAGCTGGAGGAGGCGGTTAAACAAGGCAGCAAACTTAAGGAACAGAAATTTTGGCTCACACTGACGGTCCAGACCCCAGCGCTGGAATTCACCGACCATACGCTCGACTGGGCCCTCGTACTCGGGCGGCCCGTCACGGTTCAGGCGAGACATGGTGTCGAGGATCCTCTCCATCAGCTGTGGGAGCTGACTGGTAAAATCAGGCAGACCAATGCGCCGAACGACCTCCTTGAGCTGCGCAGTGGTGAGGGGCGCGGTGAGCGCGTCCAGTTCTTCAACGGTGAGACGAGCAGGATGGTTGCGCGGCCCAATGAGGGCGGCGATCTCCGCTGGGGTGAGTGCGTTGTCGGGGGACATGGTGGGCAAAACGAGGGTTTGGACAATCCAGAAGGGTCAGCAGGTGTCAATAGCTGAAGGAAGGAGATGGGAACAAGGCACATGGAATTTCAATCCGCATGGAGCGTGGAGCGCGGGTGTCAATGTTGCGAGCAAGGGTCGGCGCTTGGGTTTTCAGTGCCGCGGAAAACCCAGGCGATGCTAGGCTTGGGAAGAGGAAACAAACCAGCAAGGAAAACAGGCGAGCAGGGGGAAGAGAAGAGCGGAAGGCAGTTGAGAGAGTGCGGAACCCCGGAGGATATTATTCCGAGTAGGCGGGAGATGGCTACAAAGCAATAGATGGGGTATGTTATCCGTCCCTGTAGACGGAAGATGGCTACAAAACAATTATGGCATGTGTTTCGTCTGCGACGCGACGGACGGCGTCCTTTTGTTTTGGTGGACATTGAATCGTGGGGGGCAACGGGGTAACTGGAAGAGACACCAGGTAGAGCGAGGGATGGAGAATAGGGATTATTTTTTTCTTTCCTCGGGAGCCGGGAGGTGGCTACAGGGCGATCTTGGAAGTTCAGACCGTGGGTTTGATGAAATTCAGTTTAAGCGAGGACGTTCTGTGAGAAGGGCTGATGAATTTTTTTTTTCACGGGTTTTTGTTTTGCTTCCGTATTGGTTCCGCGGATGTTTTTTATTCTTTTTCTTTCTCTTTTCGGGGCGGAGGGGTCAAGTGAAACGCATGAAATGGATAACGAGCATAGCATAAAAGAACATGTAATATAAGCCCGTAATCTACGTCGCGCGCTTTTTTGAAGGGTGGGCGTGGCCTGAAATAAGGCATTAGCGCAAAAGAGAAGAACCAAAGAATAGAATAACTCACTGTGATTACATGACCTGGACGCCGCCCCAAGTAAGGGCCTTGTTGAAAGCGTCGAGGGCCTGGCTTTGAGTGGTATAAGCCTTGCGCCCATTTTGAGAGACGCCGGTGACGGCGACGTCGGCGAGAGCGCTGCAAGGAAGTCAGAAAAAAGGGAGGAAAAAAAAATGGCGGCAGACTCACTACTGGTCAACGACGCCGACGAAGCGGCCGCGCGTGATCGCATACCATTCGGGGGCAGGCACCTCCTCTTTGACGGCCTCAAGAGGCTGGGGCGGGGCGATGCTGAAGACCTCGTTGGCGAGGAAAGGTCCTTCGGCGTCGCGAAGGAGTGCGATCAGGGGGGCGGGCAATCCAGCGCTGGGGGCAGAGCCCAAGTTGTAAGATATAGACTAAATGGTGTGGCTGTAGCCAGGTGGCAGGGTTGTCTTCCTGCGTGGCTCTAGCCAGGAACCAGTAACTCTGGTGTTCAAAATGAAAAATAGAATGCCCAATAGCCGAATTGAACCCTAGATCTATTGAGTCCAGGATTTTTTTCATCAACATGCTATTAACCACTATACTAATGGGGCCATAAAAGACATGCTTACCCTTCCTACCACATAGGGTAAGCACTGCTAATTCCCAACCTAAGGGCTTGCCTGCCCTAGATCTTGGTTATTGTTTGTAATTGCTTATTATGTGTTTGGTAATGTTTTAAACACTAACTTTCCAACTACAAACCATAACCAATCTAACAACACAAACCTTAACCAACAAGAAGAAATATATCCCTGGGAACCCTGAACCTAACCAACCCTAACTCTAACCCCTAACCCAAACCCTAACCCCCCAAACTCTAACCAGTGGCCCTATGCAGGCCATAATTGGCAGGTTTAAGGCTAATTGTGTGTTTGGGTACAGCTGGTCTGTTGTAGTTTGTATATTGACTCTCCATGCCCTCTTGGCTCAGTTGGTTAAGGTGCTTGATCTAGTATGCAATTATGTAATCTAGGTCAGCTCTCTGTTTTGGGTTCGAATCCCAGAAGTGTCATTTCTTTAAATTCTTTGGCCAAATGGCTGCCTGGCTACAGCCACGCAGGAAGGCAAATTATGTTCTGGCTACAGCCACGCAAGAAGCCTCTATGTTACAACTACGGGTGGGGGGCAAGGCGAGCCGCAGCAGGGGCAGGGGCGGCGGCGGCGGCAGCAGCAGGGGCCGGTGCAGCGGGCGGGGCGGCTGGCAACGCCTGGAGAAGCTGAGCCGGTGCAGCGAAGCCCATAACGGGCATGAGGACAAAGAAACCCGAGGACAAAGCCACTGAAGCAAAGAAGTAAGCTGAGTGAGAGTGGGAGCGGAAAAGAGAGACTCACTGGCAGGAGCCAACGCGAGGGCATTGGCGTTGGTGGCAGACGACTGAGAGCGGCTCGACATACTGGAGAAGATGGGGGGAAAGAAGAGGCAGAGGCGATGATAGCTGGGTCGTTATTTGTGATGTTTTATACCGCGATTATCCGAGATCTTGACGTATTTGTCGAGACGAATGCGGATGCACCATGGGGAGCAGCGTGACCAAGGCAACTTCGTTGATTGTGGTGAGAGAGACTACCGTACTTCTTTTCAGTCAGCCCCTCCCCCCAAACCAGCCAGCGCCCAGCGCCCGCCTAGACCTAAAAGCAGGAGAAAACGAGGTCAGTCGGCAGAAGGGGGACGATGTGCGAACGCAAAACTTATATAATTTTGGCAGTCCAACGTGAACATGGCGAAAAATAAGAACGCTCCGCGAAAACCGAAACGCAGCTGGAAGAGAATTGCCAAGAAGGACCGCCGAAACTTGAAGATGTGGGCCGAGGGGGCGCGCGAGTCCATTTTACGCCCTCACATTGCGGGATATACTGACGCATTGGAGCGCGGTTGGCGCGCTGAGCGTGACTACCTCCACACGGTGTGCACTGAATTCCACGCGCGGATTTCCTGGCTGCTGCCCGACGACGAGGAACCAGAGCTTCCCTTGCCCGACTACGACCCGTTCGCGACGCTGCCAGTGGAAGAGCTGAGCGAAGAGGAGACTGTCAGCAAGCGGCTTCGAATCGAGACAATGAATGCTGTAAGTCGTTGATGGATGTTTGTGGGCGCGTGTGACTGACCAAATTCCTCTCCTGGCTACAGCGCATCGGTCGTTGGTTAAAGTACCGTGCCAGAGTTCTGCGACGACCCGTAAAAATGGACTGCACACGGGACCCATGGGCTATCTTTCTGGCAAAACTCGCAGGCATCAACTCTCCACCCAAGGCTCGACAGGCCTTCCAGCAGTACATGCACGAGTCGTACAACTCGGATATCGCCCCCGTAGTCGCCGCGCGCTGGGCTGCCTCTTCAATCGACGTGGATGGGAACGCGAGAACCGCCAAGGCCCCCGACGCACCATTCTGCACGCAGGTTGCTCGGGAACTGTTCAATGAGCTTTCGAAGGAGGAGCAAGATGGCCTGCGTAAGCAGGCGAGGGAGGAGGCTCAGGAGGCACGCGACAGCTACGTCAAGGCGATGAAGGCCGGGCCGTCGAAAGACCCCGCAGACTCACAACGGTAAGGTATTCTGAAGCGCACAAGAAACTGGGTAGTGACGATAATGGAACGCGTAGTTGTATTGACAACCTGGGGCCATTTATGTCCTCAATCTTGCGCGGGGTCTCCGAGTACACGGGCCTCCACGCTTTCGCCGTCTTTGGAGGGCCCACGCCAAAGTATGGCGGCGAGATTCGGACACTGACGTACGTGGGATGAATGAATCTTCATTTTGTGGTGTGAAGCTAACGATTTGGTATCAGTGTTGCCCATGGGCGAAACCAAGGTGGCATGGCGTGCCAGTTCCCTTCGTGATCAAAGCAACGGTTCAATCGCGACGTGGTGGACTTTATGAAGGAATATTTGCAGACCGCATTCAGTAAGTCGGTGGAAAATGTGTATTTAACATGATAGCTAAGTTCCGTCAATAGCTGCGGCAGAGTGCGCTGAAGCTGCACTGCCTGACGACGACGACGACCCTCTGGACCGAGCAATAGAGGACCGAGCAATACAGGATCGACCCAGATACGCTCGCCGCCAAGTCCGACTCGGACTCGGACTCGGACTCTGATTCCGACGGGAGCGGCTCGCTGGGAGACTCACAGAGGGATTCCGACAGTGACCTCGACAGTACAATGGAGGAGGAGGTGCTGGAGAACCCGAAGAAGAAGAAGGGGGCGGCGCGGAAGAGGAAGAACAACGAGAATGTGGGAGAGAAGGGAAAGGTGAAGGCGGGAGCAGCGAAGGGGAAACCGGGGGAGAAAGAGAAGGCGAAGGCGGGGGATAAGCGGAAGAGGAGCGAGGACGATGATGAGGAGGGGGAGGGCGACGAGGAGGAGGATGAGGACAGGAACCCCAAGGCTAAGCGGGTGCGAGCAGCGGAAAAGGGTGGGAGCAGAAAGAGAAAGGGGAGGGACAGCGAAACACCACCACCGTCGCAACCGGCGGGCCTTACCTACGACCAGAGACGGGCGGCGCAGATAGAGGCAAACAGGGGGATGCTGCGGGAACTCGACGCCGCATACTTCGCCGCTCATCCCGAGGCTGCGCCTAAGCCCAAGAACAGGCCGAAACCGAGGGCGCTCGCCAAGACCAAGAAAACGGTAGAGGAGGTCCGCTGTTCGAGCCGTCTGAACGAGGAGTCGAGCCCACGCGCGTCTGGATCTGGATCTGGGGAAGGTATGTAATAACTTCAGTCACTGCAGTGGGAAAGACGGAGACTGAATATTTTTTTGCCGCAGATGTAGAAATGCCAGATGGCCCGCCAGACGCCCCGCCAGACGCCCCCGTGCCTGACTTCGTGAGTGACGGGGGGTGCAACCCTCTCCACGCGCCACCTCGAACGCCGTCGCCTGCCCCATCGCCTGCCCCCCCGCTGCCGCCTCCTCCGCCGCCGCTGCCGCCTCCGCCGTCCTCGAACAACAATGGAGGCGGACGTGGAGGAGCGCCGCCGGTACCATCGGGTGGAGCGTTAGGGGCACCGCCAATGTCAGCAGCCGTCGCGGCGCTGCTTGAGGCCAAAAAGGCGGCGACGACGAGTGCACCGGCTCCCGGAGAATGGGACTCAGACCAGATCCCAGTCTCGCGCGCGGGGGCGGCGGGATGGTTCACCGACTGTTACGCTGAAATCACGGCGGTGAATCTGGGCGGCGTCTTCAACAGCCTCCTGGAAGTATATATCGCGATCGAACAGGGGTACAATTGGGAGAAGGGTGGGGGGAGCAGTTTGGGGGGAACAGGAATTCGGCCGAAACAGCTGACGCAGTGGGTGGGCGCGGGGCGTGGATTGCGGGGCGGGTTGATGAGTAAGGGGGTTGGGCCTTCGATAGGGTCGATCACGGTCCTCGATGACGCGTGGTGGAGGTGGTGGGGGAAATTGCAGCCAAGTTGGCGGCGGCCGCAGGGAGATAAGCCGGGCCGCTTCGAGCGCGATACCTACCCTGGGTCAAAGCAGGAGTGGAGCGTACCCAGGCCAGAACGGGCTGTTGGGGGTGATCGCGACACTATATTGGTGGGGGAAGGCGGTGAAAAAGGAGGGAGAAAAGGAGGATCGAGAGTCGTGGACGGAGGCAGTGTCGGACGTGAAGTGGCTGCTGAAGGGGCTTGTCGCGTCGGAGAAGGAGAACGAGGGCGCCGAAGGAGAATAAGATCACGACGGGGACTTTATTTATTTGACGACTTGTTTTTTCGGACTTTAGTTGTTTTTGTTGTTAAGACTTACGCAGCACGTACAGGGCATAATACGGCAACTCGTAGTTGTTCATCTTACTTACTAGAATCAACCTTGCTTCCTTTGAACTGCTAAATGGACAAGAGGGATAAAAAGTGGACTTTGAGAAAAAGAGCGCAGGTAGATCACGTAATGTTGATTTGATAAGCTGATGGGGACAACTTCGAGTTTTCGAGCCTGAAAACTGAGGTGGTTTGAACAGTATTTTGAACAGAAATGAGAAATGGTGCTAACTAGCTAGCTACCGTCGACGCAGCCTCCACCTACCAAAGAAGAAAAAGGACCGGAGAAAAAATAATGATAGAAAACAAAGAATGTGGGACAAGAAAAGCAGAGTGCAGGAGAGTAGTAGTTTGGAATCCACTTTTCTATGCCAAACACTTTTGATGAGGGAAATTGATGGGGAGTGATGCGCATGGGAGATCCCGAGCAAATATCGATGGCAGTGACCAAAAATAAGTATATTGATGGCATAGCAGGTATATTTAGGAAGCGATCGGGATTGATCGTAAGTGCCAAAAGGAGCCCACAGAAATACCCGACGGTGGCCCGGAAGCCGGCCCAAGTGGACCCGAGCCGCAGGATAAAAGTGGCAAAAAGACCCCTTAGACATAGCCTGGCTGGGGCCATGCATAGAGGCAACATACCCTACTGGCTACAGCCATGTCATTTAGTCTATATATTACAGCTTGGGCTCCTCCCTCCAACGGTCTTCAAGGTGCCCCAATACGGATGAGGACCGGCTTTCCCAAGTCCAAGTGTGCACACCGTGAAGAAGCGGAGCGCAGAGCCTGTGCCGTGCTGAACACAAAGCCCGACACTATCGGCCTCGTCCCCAAGCCCGAGCCCGAGTCCGACACCGAGCCCGACACCGTCGAGCGCCAGGTGACCAACCCCATCAAGAGAGAGCGGAAGTTGAGCCGGCATCTTTGACTCCGACTGTAGCCATGCAGACAACGGGCACAGCATCGAGTAAGACCCCCGGGCGCTGTCATTCTGGGCCCCCAGGAGTTTGGGCGACACCCGAAGAGCTTGCTTCAGTCCGGTAGTAGAACTGTATTTCCCTTGTATAAATCTTTTCGAGTCGACTTCTTTATCTCATGTTCTGTCAAATCGGACAGAGGGTGTATACATATTTTTCGGTCGTTCTCACATAGGACAGATTCTGTCAGACACGACAAGGTATTGAGTGAAGCAAAATACAGGCCGCCGGTGCAATTATCTTCGTCGAGCCCAAAAATCAAGTTAATGAATTTCTC